TTAAACTTTTTGTAGGATATTAACTAAAACTGTAAGGTTTATATAGTATTTCATGTAGTCTGCATTGACCATATCTCATTGTAAAAGCAATCAATTTCTTTCAAACCTTAAAAGCCTATCAAACTCAAGAATTGTATCAAAGTTAGAAAAATGATCGGCTTTCTCCAATGTCTATAAACAGATTGTTCTGTGCATTTTTTATTTGATACATTACATTTCCAAAGAAATTTGAGTAGAATTAATCTTGGTCTGCATTGAACATGGCTCTTGGTCTAGACGACAATCAATTTGTTCGTGCAACGGCTCCTGTGTATCATCTAATGCCTGATGGTTTTGAGTCTATTTATCTACTATCACTTTCTTACAAAAGTATTATATGATGAAATCGCATATTGAGATAAGATCAGTTTCTAAATACATACAAGAAGTTGTTTCAATTTATTATTTTTTTATGAAAACATACCTGACTGAAAAGCTAATATTTATCAACTTATAAATCATCTTTACGTACTAAAAATGTCCCCAACAATTTTAGTGGAATACTGTATGGTCCATTTCGGATTATCAATACCAGATCGCTTATATCCCAATGAATTATTTTCCAGAATATATATAAACACATCTCATTACTGACTGGGAGATAGATACAGTAGGGCGAAATATTGGATTAAACCAAATCATACCGTTGTTTCGTCCTTTTTTATTGCACTTTTTATTGATGCAAACTACCCTAAGTATTAAAATATGTAAAGTGACTGCCGCAGGAAGTGTAAAAAAAACAGATGTGGAGGTGTATGTATAACAAAAAAGTTCATTTCATATGTTTTCTTCTTTCTCTTTTTCTGTATGTTAGATAATTAAATAGTGACAGTAGAATATGTCCAGAACATGTGTATATGTTTACATGCACTATTCAACTAAGTTTAAACGTCGCATGAATCACATACTCGCATCAACTTGTTGACCCTTGCGTTTTCATGCTTGGTCCTTCTACTACCAGACAAATACATCATAAGAAGAATACTTTTATCAAGCCACATTAAAGCATCACTTGCGACAACGGTTGTGGTGAAGCAAGAGAGATAATTGCACAGAAAAAACATGCATCACATTCATTATCTTAGCTTTCAGACAGCTGATACGTTACCAATCCCAGTTCTAACAGAAATATTCATTACATGAATTGAAATCTTTGAATGAAATATTTTCGTTTTTGTGTTTTATATTATTTTTCATTGTGCTGTAAATCATTGTTAAAAATAATGATATTTTATCATTTTCTTTCAAATTCCATTAATTTGGTTTTACTTTTTCTCCGTATGTTAAATTATGCCATCAATCAATAATTAGACTGATGGAAAAAGCTTGCATGAAAAACGGTTACCAAAGATAAAAATGACTTTGCTCTAATGAGCTGTGATATGTTTCATTCAAAGAAGCGATAGTGCTTGTAACACCTTGTAAGACTGGCACAGAACCTATTCAACTGAAACCCTGGTTGTGTCGTGTATTGACCTATTCTGTATATTGTAAATGGTTTAATTTCGGTGGGGGGGGGGGGGACGAAATGATAAACAAGAAGAAAATTACAGTAATTTCAGTACTAATGGAACTGAATGCCAGCGAAAATACGCAATTTTATAAAACCATGAAATTTTCACCCAACCAAAATGTATGGATCAACAAATAAATAGATAAACTTTATTTTACAACAATTGCTAAACAAGTTTTTCCAGCTTATATCAATCACTCGTGACCCGGATGTAAGCGCGTGAGGACTTAATTTTTGGAGGGAACCGGTGTACTCGGGGAGAACCCACATGATAGGGCAGGTGACCCCCATGCCTTTTTACATTCATTTCGGAAATCGAGCCTCGGACGGCTAGGTGAAAGGCGAGTGCGTTATCATTGCGCCACCCGATTACCCAAGTGTACACTAGTAACTAAATTTCGCACGCCTTATATTGGTAATGCATTTGCGTCTATACATACAATATAACAGTTGTTTTCTGAGATTCTTAGTCGTTGTAAACAAAATTGCTGGGTATTAACTATCTTTGTTGAATTCAATCTCCAGCAAATATCATCAAGAATACACTATCCAAATGTAAGTAAAACTGTGATATTGGTAACTTTTGGAAAAACGATTGGTAAAAATATCTATGAAACTTCAATCATCAGCGTTATTTGAGAGAGCAACACAATCTTATTACGTACACAGATTTCAATCACGTTCAGTCTTAGAGAAGTGAGATTTGAGGTCAAAGAGTAAATTTTGAAACGCTAACCAACAGGGGTAGCCCTGGCCATTTAAAGTCATTCTGATTAGGCAAATGGTCGCATTTAAACCATTGCATTATGGAAGATATCACTTCGGAAAAAAATGAATAACATGAGACAGTACGACTAGGTTGACCTTGTTGTCTTCGGCGTTTGATGAGCTGAGAGATACAAATTGACTGGTTGACATCCCTGAGAACGCCTGTCAGACCTTCGCTTATGGTCTTGAATTAGAGATAGACTCAAACATCACTGAATGAAATCACGTTATCCATATCAAATTTGCTAATATATCTTCACGTTGATTATAGATATTGCACAGGAACACGTCATTTTCCCATTTATAAACAAGGTGATGGGCGTTTTGTAACGATATCTGTTATTAGTAGAGGATAGTGACGTTTTATTGGTGTAGGAATATTGATAGGAAATTGGCTGCTGCTTCTGGGCAACTGATCTATAGAAACCCTGCATCGATAAAAATGAGCCCCCTGCAGAATAGGGGTTTTCCTGTGTATTCTACTAAAGAAGTATTGAAGATACCAAGATAGATCTGCTGTTCATATTGCAACACTTGGAATACCGGTCTTTTGATTTATTTCTTTCCCTTCAACACTTTCTTATATTGCCCTTCTTGACACCAGTCCTCATATTACCCTGTGTTGCGTGGATGTTTAACTCCATAAAAGGACATGGTAACAAAAAGCCCTCTATCCTTGCGGTTTCATTCCATAATAATGACAAGACAAGGGTGTCCTTGGTATTATTTCCTTTAGTAGTCAGATAGTATATGGATAGACATCATCATAATTTCATTATGCAATATTCAAATTTCTACTCAAGTTGGACTCAAGGAAATTACCAAATTTAGCCTGTTTCATTTGCTCGTGAATTTTACCAGATTAACATCGATCTAGACGTATGAACACATCCTTCACACATTTTGTAAAGGAAGACAGCCTTTTACACATGATTGATGCTAAGATTTAGTAAGTATAGTATATGAGTGAGTATAGTTCTCACACACAATAAAACCCTCCGTATATATATACAATATACCAGCAACAAAACTTAATTACAAGACAACAGGGTTGAACTAAGCTTTTATTCATCAACACCACCACAAAACATACAATGCCTTGACACTCTAAACCAGGAATCTCATCTTGTACGTTACTTATTGAACAAACATCATTTAATAAGTTTGACATTATATTAAATAATGAGTCATTCTAATACGAAGATGTACTTAAAAGTGTATTGAATCCTATTCGTCGATTATTTTCAAGTGAGGATACTCGAAATCAATAATAAATTTACAGGTAACCGTTAATTTGTGAAGTTACAATATATTTCACATCAATCCGTTTTCGGCTGATACAATGTTTTATGATGTGCACACCAATTTCGAAATTGCGTTTCGTAAGTTTTGCACTGAACATTTTCCCCGTTAGCCGATGTTTCTAGTGCATTCTACAAAGGTTATCGCATGTAAGGAATATCAATATTTTTTATTTCACATGTCACAAAAATATTGGTAATCCAAAGAATTAATACCAGCGATGATTCATGAACCGAAAGTATCAACAAATTAACAAAATGGTCCTGCAAGCGAGTACATCTAGAAGCCACTGGCAACGTTAATGTTCTTCAGCAAAATGAAGGTGTTGTAAGCGTTCCACAGAGGAGAGACTTTGATCCAAAAACCATTTTTTATGATTAGCTAAAAGCTTTAATAAAATAATCCTGTCAAAAACACCACAATCAGTAGTATAGAGAATTCATGTATACGTAAATTTTAAAACATCGGTTTGGCTCTTAATGAAATGTATTGAGTCTCCTTCGAGAAGTGTCATTATCACGAAGAAAATGGGTATATTGAAAAGAGAATTAAAAGCAAGGGTTTACCTATTTCCACTATAATGTGACCAGATTAAGGGTTCCTTCGTTAGTATACGTCATTGTGGAAGCACTATAAATGCAGCTCGAATTCTGCACTATCGCACGAAGGCTTACATGAGCATATCACAGCACTTAACACATTCGTCTCTCATGGACCAGAAGGCCGGCGTTAAGTAACAGTCGCTGTTGAAAGGACGTTAAACAATAGTATAAAACAAAAAAAAATGTTTTAATAAAACCGCGAGCACTCGAACCATAAAAAATACCATTGGCGTTTCACTTGAAAGTTTTGATTGAAGAGGAAGGCAAGACCCGTGGCAATAACATAACTGTTTCACCGTTATATACACTCTCATGATGATAGAGTTATGTTGATTATCACAAACCGAAGGCACTATGGATCTCTGTGCATAAACATTAATTTTCTATATCAATGTATTGAAACGATATTAATTTGCCATTAAGTACTGTATGTTCACAGATGTGTTAGAACTGAAGAGAAGTGAAATATCTTATTTTTTCCAATAAAAAACAGTGAATTTCTCACCAAATTTTACACTCGGATTTTGCCTTGCAGGGATACATGATGTTCTCGGATGTGTTTCGTGTATATTGATAAAAGGAAAATAACCAATGGTTAACCAAGTCTTGACCAATTTGCACAGAAATCATATAAAATAAATTAATAAAGATATATATATAGCTGACGTCTGTTTTACAAACAAGCCTGTCAAAAAAGAATTACCAAACATGTCATATTTTATACCTCGCCCACGGTTCAGAAGCAGCACAATTCTCCGTATTAATAAACAGTGTCACTAGCTGTCGTTGAGATAGTCGAGGAAACTGCCAATCGATGGCAGGTCAAGTTCCTGTTTACTATCGACAGATTTTGACATTGAATTGTCCACAATCTTCATGTGTATGGAGGCCTCGATGTCGTATTGTATGCTTTCCTCCTGTGCTTGGTTAAATTGTCCACATGTTCCTTGCTGTTGAATATGAGATTGCATTCGTTGTCTTTGCAGGGGCATCGAATGCAGATGATGCCTTGACGAATACGGATGAAATTTGTTGTCTTCTGAGACAAATGTTCCTTGAAACTTCGGCGAAGAGTAATCACAGTGCATAGAAAGTCTTATGTTTGCATGTGGTTTTGTATGATTACGTGTGTTAGCACCTCTCAGATTTAGTGGTGGTTCGAAACATGTTCCTGTATCAGTGTTTTGAACGATCGGTGGAACAGGAAAGTTGTTGGCAGAACCAATCATACTATGACAACCAGTAGGGAAGTGATACGGACTTTGCTCAACACTGTACATGAAACGTTGGGAGGGAGAGTGAAAACTAGAAGGATAGTACGGTGTCTGGTGATTTGAATACATTGCATATCTGTCTGCTAGAAACTTCCTTGGTGATACGGGTGGAGAGGGTGGGAGATTAAATACTAGTTGATCTGATGTGGGTAAGGGGCATATAGAAGGTTCGTAACCAACACATGGTCTACAGTTTACACGGTTGGTCCGGGGATCCTGAAAAACAAGGTATGGATTGTAAGTGCACGGCTGATATGATGCATTGCATCCAGGCTCGGATTTGATCGGTTTTGTGTCACGAACGTTCATTTCGGAACGGCGACGCATAGAATACTGCTGGTGGTGACTTTCTTCTGTTTGTGGTTGTTTCTGACGTGCAAATTTGACGGGTTGTTGCATCTGCCAGTGATATGGGAGAAAATCAGCAGAAGATTGGTTACTGTCTTGTTCAAACTCTTGCCGTCTTCTAAACTCCTGAAACTGGAGCTGTTTCTCCCGTTGAGTAATTTTATGTGCAACGTGAGTAGACGGTAGAACAGGAGAGTGTCGATCATTCATGGCATGAAGAGTTGACGGACAACTGACCAGTGCGCTGTAGAAAGACAACGATGCATCTTCAGTGAATCCTATATGAGGTGTACAAATCTGACCGTTGGTCTTATGATTGACGTGACTGTCACAGCGATCAGAATTTGTTCGGTTGTTACTGGTGTAGTAGCCGTATTGGATCAGCTGAAGTAGATCATTTATAGCAAATCGCTGGCGTATTGTCGACTCTTGCTGGAGGAATGTGCTGTCTTCTTCTCTGAAAAAAATATAGGGAAAAAAAGAATTTACTACATATTTTGGAACACTGTAAAACCTTATCCCCAATGCTTTCCGGTAATTCATACATCTATTCTGTATAGTGATGTACATTACTTTTACAGGAAAGAACAAAACTATTACATCCCTTTCTAACGATTGAAGTACATCCTCGTTTTCAAAAGAGAAGTTGGTAACAAGTCCGTTTATTCGTGCAATGTTTAGAAAGTGTCGTAAAGAACGTTCATCAGATGACCGTCATTTTATTAAACAGATATGTTGATTTCTATTTTTCAGATTCAATAGGATTACTTTGCTATGAAAACACAACTACTTTTTGCGCTAAACCTGCAATAAGTGTGAGACATACTGGAAAAAAAACTCTAGCACTATGTAGCACGAAATGTCCTTGTCTTATGTGTGAGAAGTTCAGAATTCAATAATTTCATCAATAGGTATAACTATGCAAGGCCCTTAGTTATATTATTTTACAATATCAGATTTCAGGTGAATCTGTGTACAGAATATTAATCTTTTATAGTACCGTCGTATCATAGATAGGTAACAAACACCCTACTTGTTAACATCATACTGACAATGGGTTACCAGCCTCTGAAGCTGATTGGCAACCAGGGAACGTCATTTCAGTAATGTAGAACTCATTACATTCGTCAATTGGGCAGACGCTGACATTAAAGGCCAAACACAAGGAAGTTCACCCAAATGGTCAGTGAAACCATTTATTCAAGGTTTTTTTTACCCAATAATGCTTCCGACCAACTTGGGGCAAAATCGTCTCATTCCTAAAGAAGAAAGGTTTTGATAAATTGCTCCATTTCCTCTATTGGGCTTCATACTCATATACAAGTGGGCCGAAACTCACCGTTTTTATACAAAATTGATTCCCATTCATCCAAGGATGCTCAGACCGAATTGGGACAGAATCCTAACATTCTTACAGAGGAAGAATTTTGCCCCAGGGGACCGAGACCCACATTTTACACAAAATTGACAATTGGACAACGTCCAATCTAAATAGAATTTTTAATAATTTACCAAATTTCTCCTTTTTGGTCCTGCCCCTGAGACCCCGGGGGGCTCTGATCCAACACTGATATGAAACTCATAACTTTGCAAAATGTGGTGAAAATCCTGTCAGTCGTTCATGACTAGTAGTATTTTAAAGAAATTGTTGACGGACACGGTATGGCATAAGCTCACCTTGGTCCTTAAGACCAAGTGAACCAAAACGTCTTCAGAAATGGGAAGAAAGAGTCACATTGTTTTTGTTAGTTCACAGAGGCGCAATAACTCGTGTGTTTGCTGTTTCGTTGTAGATATTATAAAACTGATTTCCATCGCTTCTAATGAATTATTGAAACCGTGTTATGTTTCCATTGTTGCTTCCATGGAAACCTCGGCCTAGCAATTTGTCATTAAAGGATCGAAAGTGACATTTACACAGGAAAACAATGGTGAATACATTATATCGAGATTAATTCTCCCAAATATCAAATGCATAGAATCCCTAAACTTTTGTATTTCTATACTCCACTGTTCACTCTATTCAAATGGACAGATATCGCATTCCGTTTATTCATAGAAACACGCATATTTTGAATCGTAGATGAATGAATACATTAGAGCACCAACAAAAGAAATTATTCCCTTTCTTTCCAATAAACAGGAACGTATGTTTGTCTAGAAATATCATAATACAGATCAATAAAAAAAACACCTGCATGCATCATCTATTTTTTTCATCAAAAGTTCAAAAGTGTCTTTTAGCATATTTCATTGTTCCATAATTGGTATAACACTTGTTTAACATAAATGAAACTATTCATCAGAAACGTCATCGCAATCTTTTAAAGGGCGATGTCCCAGATAGATGAAAATAGATTTTACAATTTTATTCCTCACTTGATATTAATTTTGTTAATAATGTCATACGAAAGTGAGTTCTTGTCAGTTTGTGACCTCTGATTAAAAAAATAATAATAACAGGCGACTCAAATCGGAATTGTTAATCTCTTTCTGCGAAACGACTTCTTCCTTTTGCCTTGAAGGAATTAACACTGTTTTAGGCACAATTTTTGAGAGTTATTGCCCTTTATTTTTATTTTTTATCTCCATCTCCTCATTCAGTTTTCAACCATTTTCTTTGAAGCTTGGTAAGCTTGAAAACAAAACATGAGATTTTGTTCTCATGAATAACATTCATCAATATTTCAAAACGTTATTGCTTTCTTTCTGCATTTCAACCATGCCAAGAGATATCTCAACTCTTAAAAACTCGATATGCTTCAATTTATCACTAAAACATATAGCACAGTCTTTCTTCTTGACATTTTAACTTATTATCACCGTTTCCATTTTTGTATTATTTTCGATACAATCAAATCCTAAATATTTCTTTGACATGAGCGGGTGTTTATATTTCCGCTCCTGGGCTCCGCAGCTCTTGTTACAAGAGTTGTGACAACTGATCTACGTCAATAATCAGTAAGCGAACATTAACCCATGATGAGCTGGCTTCTGATTAAAGTTTCCCAATTATATAACAAGATTTGTCAAACGTCGGTACGAACCGTCACAACACAGACATTGCGGTGGAAAACCTACTTAACTCTTCCGTGTCGTTTTGGTAGCACCATGATGTCACAAACTAGTCCGCCAAACCAAATAAGACATGTCTACCATAGCAATTATTTAATGCAATTTTAAGGGAAAGTTACAAAAAACAATTGACATAAAATTCATAAATTGCAGAAATTCGGGACAAAATTCTAGGTCATTCAATGAACAACACCAAAAAACACAACAACGGGAGTAAAACAGGATGTGGTGCTAAAACACAACAACGGGAGTAAAAAAGGATATGGTGCTAAAAACACAACAACGGGAGTAAAACAGGATATGGTGCTAAAACACAACAACGGGAGTAAAACAGGATGTGTTGCTAAAACACAACAACGGGAGTAAAAAAGGATATGGTGCTAAAAACACAACAACGGGAGTAAAACAGGATATGGTGCTAAAACACAACAACGGGAGTAAAACAGGATGTGTTGCTAAAACACAACAACGGGAGTAAAACAGGATGTGGTGCTAAAAACACAACAACGGAAGTAAAAAAGGATATGGTGCTAAAAACACAACAACGGGAGTAAAACAGGATATGGTGCTAAAAACACAACAACGGGAGTAAAACAGGATATGGTGCTAAAACACAACAACGGGAGTAAAACAGGATGTGTTGCTAAAACACAACAACGGGAGTAAAACAGGATATGGTGCTAAAACACAACAACGGGAGTAAAACAGGATGTGTTGCTAAAACACAACAACGGGAGTAAAAAAGGATATGGTGCTAAAAACACAACAACGGGAGTAAAACAGGATATGGTGCTAAAACACAACAACGGGAGTAAAACAGGATGTGTTGCTAAAACACAACAACGGGAGTAAAACAGGATGTGGTGCTAAAAACACAACAACGGAAGTAAAAAAGGATATGGTGCTAAAAACACAACAACGGGAGTAAAACAGGATATGGTGCTAAAAACACAACAACGGGAGTAAAACAGGATATGGTGCTAAAACACAACAACGGGAGTAAAACAGGATGTGTTGCTAAAACACAACAACGGGAGTAAAAAAGGATATGGTGCTAAAAACACAACAACGGGAGTAAAACAGGATATGGTGCTAAAAACACAACAACGGGAGTAAAACAGGATGTGTTGCTAAAACACAACAACGGGAGTAAAAAAGGATATGGTGCTAAAAACACAACAACGGGAGTAAAACAGGATATGGTGCTAAAACACAACAACGGGAGTAAAACAGGATGTGTTGCTAAAACACAACAACGGGAGTAAAACAGGATGTGGTGCTAAAAACACAACAACGGAAGTAAAAAAGGATATGGTGCTAAAAACACAACAACGGGAGTAAAACAGGATATGGTGCTAAAAACACAACAACGGGAGTAAAACAGGATATGGTGCTAAAACACAACAACGGGAGTAAAACAGGATATGGTGCTAAAACACAACAACGGGAGTAAAACAGGATGTGTTGCTAAAACACAACAACGGGAGTAAAAAAGGATATGGTGCTAAAAACACAACAACAGGAGTAAAACAGGATATGGTGCTAAAACACAACAACGGGAGTAAAACAGGATGTGTTGCTAAAACACAACAACGGGAGTAAAACAGGATGTGTTGCTAAAACACAACAACGGGAGTAAAACAGGATGTGTTGCTAAAACACAACAACGGGAGTAAAACAGGATGTGTTGCTAAAACACAACAACGGGAGTAAAACAGGATGTGTTGCTAAAACACAACAACGGGAGTAAAAAAGGATATGTTGCTAAAACAAGATTAAGACGTCAGTACCCTCGACCCCGTTAATTAGAATTTGTGTGTAACCATGACAAAACCTAACGGCGTCCTGACATTTATGAGGGATCACCAATAACGGATTACTTCGTCGCCAATTGGTTTCACAGTTACAACAATCGGAGCTAAACAAACGTTTGTAAACTGTAGTATAGTCAGGATGTATAGAGTTGTGATTTGACGAGATCGTTTTCAATCAGTGACTGGCATTATACTAAGAAAAAAATTAAGAAGATATCTTACGAGTTTTATCAGCAAAATTATAGAAAACAGTTTACATAAAATTTATATATATATATATGTGTGTGTGTGTGTGTGTGTGTGTGTGTGTGTGTGTGTGTGTGTGTGTACATTGTATGAGCAAGTCAGATTATGTCTGCCATGATCAAAGTATTAGATTTATGAATCTTCGAACTTATTTCATGCATATAACGTCATCAGTTTTTTGTGTGCGTTTCTATGGTTATCTCACATTATTTGTCACATTTTACACACAGTCTTTCGGTTCTGTATTTTTGTAGGTTTCCGTTCATAAAACACATGTTAAGCTTTTAAACTAAATCTATCAGGAATGAGGAGACTTTTTAAAATACTTCTTCCTCTCAAAAGATTTTGCATAGACAAGACTTTTTTGAAACTACTTGTTAAATTTCTTTGTTACTCTCAAACAAACGATGCTCTGTGAAGGAAAAGGAATACTGGAAATGTGTGAATGATGTAGAATTGTTTCCTTACCTGACCGGACAATGTGTAAAGACGATAGAGAACTTCTTAGAATTCTTACTGATCACCTTTCCCCGAGAATGTAGCCATATTAGGTCATTGTCTTTAGTAATGAACCGGAAGTAAGTTGTCTGAACTTCTGTGCTCTCTACAACTGTAAAGAAAAAGATAATAGATATAACTTAAGCACCGAATTTTTTCTTTTACTGTCAATGGGCCAAGAACGTGGACGGTTGCAAATTGTGAGTTTTCTTAATTTTCCTTAATTCTACAAATATGTACAGGTAGTGTATGGCTTCATATAACTTAATGCAAAGAGTACTTCATGCTAAATATGCCCAACGTCTCTTTGTTCTGTTCTTTATGACTCTCCTATGCTTTATATAAACTCTCCTACGACACTAAACTCTTCCGAAAAGGTTGAATTGCGAATTAGATAAACGCTCTCTCTCTCTCTCTCTCTCTCTCTCTCTCTCTCTCTCTCTCTCTCTCTCTCTCTCTCTCTCTCTCTCTCTCTCTCTCTCTCTCTCTTTCTCTCTCTCTCTTTCTGCTGAGGTTATCACTGGTTTATAATCAATGTCATTTTAATGCTGGAGTTTGTAGCATGTGGAGGCTACTTTGCTGAACATCAGGTCGAGGTTGTTCAAAGACCAGTTAGAGATAAGCAGTGGTTAGGGAAAATTTTCAAATATTAAGTAAACAAAATTGAAAACATTCCACAACTACAGATTTTCTGACATGAGTCAGATCGTGATATTTCGACCGTTAATGTGACATTGAACGCCCCTGCATTTTCAGTGGCAACAATTTAATATCTTTGATTTACTCTAACTAACCTTTGAGCAACCGAGGCCAGGGGGTTGGGAGTTCAAACAAGAGACTTGCCAACTTTGCCTCAGGATTCAATTTCCAATATTTTTTCCAAACGGAGATTTTTAACCATCCTTACTTCCGTGTCGTGATATCAATGCTGAGAATTATTGGTGTGCCGCTGTTGCTATCAAAGTTAAGTCCCGCCTTTAGCCTAGGGTGGGACCAGGATTCTCACAGCAGATTTTTGGAACATCTTCTTCTACTCCCACCGATGTCATTTTTTAAATTTAGCACGCGAATCTCGGAAATGTGTCTTTCTAAATTTAAAAGCTCTCATCCTTGGGTTTCAGATGTACGTGATTAAGACAAATGGAAGACAGTATCACACTTCACTATTTGATAAACACAGATAAATGACGAAATTGGGAAAATAAAAATACATGGATGTTCGAGACAATGAAATAATGAAGTCCTTCAACAATAACAGAAAAAACCCGACATGTCGACAGAATCTTAGTTCAAGCCGATACTCGATGAAACTAGGGAGAAATATATATATATCTAGATATTGGCAATATATCGGGAATGGTTTAAACTCTGACCTGAGTTAACAATAGTCATCCGAATATTGGCGATTTATCAGAATTGGTTTGAAATCTGACCTGAATTAACAATAGTCATCCGGATATTGGCGTTATAATGTGAATGGTTAGAAATCTAACCAGAGCTAACAGTAGTCGTCCGGATATTGGCGATTTATCGGGATGGTTAGAAATCTAACCGGAGTTAACAGTAGTCGTCCAGATATTGGCGATTTATCGGGATGGTTAGAAATCTAGCCAGAGCAAACAGTAGTCGTCCGGATATTGGCGATTTATCGGGATGGTTAGAAATCTAACCGGAGTTATCAATATTCATCCAGATATATTCAGATATATTTTCATACTTTACAGATTGAGAGCTGATAAACTCTATGTTGATAGCACGGTATCGAGAGATTTGTACTTAAATCATAGGATGGTATTATACAAAAGGATGTATCAAAATGATTTAAACTTCAATGGGGAGATTTGAGCTCTGCTCTAGAAATTACCTGTTCTATTTATGAAGAATCGGTTTTTACTCAAATGTTTGGAAGTTGCATTTGAGAATATCTTTTGAATTGTATCTAAAGACGTAGGTGGAAGCAATACAGACAGATATAAATGACATTGCAGTGCATCACATCTGTTGTGAAGCGTTCGTTATTCGATATTGATAGGTATAGTAACTAGATGTATTCAGTCATAGGTCTGCTATTGGGGGTACAACTAACGCGAGTGATAGAAAGTATGCATATATCACATGGTAACGTTCGTTCTATGTAAACAGATAAATATTCTCAGCGATACCAACACATGTACTTAGTCAACATACAGTGAAATATAACATATCTTAATCACTTCCTCAACAATCCCACCCATTCTCAGCTGAGCGTCACAAGCGGAACTTTCTTATATAATTTAGAGTTAAAATGAATTAATCTGTACCATAGAGCCGTTTCGTCCTTCTAGGACTCGACAATGATACTAAGGGCATTTCCAGGCATGTTGCAGCTCAATTCCATCGATGCAACTTGAGACGAAGTTTTAAAAAGAAAATGAAAAAAAAATGCACCATACAAATATCAGAAAATAACCATGTGAAGTTCCATTACTGTTGAATAAATTATTCAACGCAAGTCCAATGCAAAACATAAAATGATAAGAGCCTCGCTTGGGAAACTTAATAAACAAAATATTTACCACAGCGTACTGAGTAACGTATATCACAGCATCAACAAGCAAACACAAAATTAACTATGGCGTCCAAAAGTAAACACAATATACAATAGCGTCAACAGGCACACAATAATATACAAAAATGCCAACAAACATAGAATATACCAAAGTGTCAACAAGGAAACAGAAAATACTACCGCGTCAACACGCAAACATAGAATCTACTACCGCGTCAACACGCAAACACAGAATATACTACCGCGTCAACACGCAAACACAGAATATACTACCGCGTCAACAAGTAAACACAGAATATACTACCGCTTCAACACGCAAACACAATATACTACCGCGTCAACACGCAAACACAGAATATACTACCGCTGCAACACGCAAACATAGAATATACTACCGATACAACACGCAATCATAGAATATACTACCGCTGCAACAAGGAAACACAGAATATACTACCGCGTCAACAAGTAAACACAGAATATACCACGACGCCAAGACTAAAATATCAAGTAATGTCTACGTACTGGAAGCATTAACCCTAGCAGACGACACGAATATTTCTCAGGGTCATCGCCATCGGAATTTATCAAAATTCTAAGACTCTACACAAAGAATCAAGCACATCGCAATCACAACGACAACTAACCCCACGCCAACACTCGGACAAACGTCTACAAAGAGTAGCTTCTGTGCTGTCAATTTCTCTGATGAGTAATTAAATTTTCAATTTATGTGATGAAAAATTACAATTAAATTTGAGCTTTCCGTCGTAAAATGTCAGCAATAATTAGATACAAAAAGTAACAGCTGTTGTTTCCAGCCATTTCCCACGTAACACTATATGTATTTTACCATCACAATTATCTAAAAGTACAGTAATGAGAATCATATTTTAACGTGATGACTTGTAAAGAAGCAACGCGAGATTCCAGTAAATGCAATATCAGTGATTTTGAAATTAAGATTCGTTTTGCAATAAAGTTTCCTATTTTTGAAAAGACATTATGCAATATGAGCGAATATTAGATGGAACAAAGTACGTATAATTCGATAATATCATGTGTTCCTGTTTTCGTCCTGTTATTTTTAATCAACAGCTAGGATTTTACATTTAGATTCAAATAATTTATTTAGATTTTGCCATGGTAGTGTATGTCGGAGAATACCTTTCAATGAACCTTTTATCTTTACCATCAATTGATGTTAAGAGCATTCAATAAAAGTAGAGGATCATTTTTCAACGTGTTTTTTTTTTTTTTTTTTTTAACTTTATAAAATTTAGATTCGAAAATACATAAACATATTTACAAAACGATAACGAAGATCGTTAGTTAACATAGAACAACAGACTTGCTCATGCTGCGAAATCCTGAATGCCATTCTCGTGTTATATAAATGATATTCAATAACATTTGTTTTCCATAATAGTCAAACAGTATTTCCACTTAATCCTACTCACGTGATTTGTGGCAGGAAGCGAATGCAGCAACGTCCTCTGGATGGACAAAATCGTAAATCGAACGACCGTCTAATTCATCTACGTCATATCCGGTCATGGCTGCCGCTCTGAAAGAAAGGAGAAAGTTTGCCTTTTTAAAAATATAATAAGATATGCAAACTGATTTGACAATACATCCCAAAACAAGCAAACCTATGATGAAATGGAAATATGAAATTGGTTTTATTTTAATGGATATAAACTATCAATTGTCGTCATTGAGCCGTCATCCTCTCCTAAAATGTTATAAATCAGATCAACTTTATCCGCGTTACAAACTTTCTTAATACGAAAATCTGGAAATCTAGGGTACCTAGACTGCATTTGCAACAACTTACGATGGTTATTGAATAGACAGAGAAAAGGCAAACCAGGAATAATTTGTGAATCAGAACAAAACGAATTTTAAAAAGCAGGCTTAGATATATAATAGTATCTTCCTTATTAACACTCACTTCTTATCTAGCTCATTTATTTTCATGTCCATATCATGTTTACTCCAGAACACATTCTGTTTTACGTCATCGTTGATGTCATTTCCGGTTAACATAAATGGCTGACAGTAAAGTCGAATGACTTGTAGGAAACTCCCGGTTGATTTTGAGGACAGTTCGGGAAAATTGTCAATTTTTCCAATGCAGTGTATTTTCTAAAAGATAAAAACAATTCTATGAAGTCGCTCTCAGGAATAAACGCTGTGTTACACAGACTTTTTCACAGTCTTTAAATTTGTCTTAACATTAACTGGATATTCATCAATACTATCATTACTGTAGATCCAATGGGAGAGCAAAATATGAAGAATTGGCGATATCTTCAAGTGTAAATGAGACATGTGCACTCATTTCAATAACGTTTTAGCATCGGAAGATTGTTTTTCGTCGATAGTAAAGAAATTTTCGAGGTTTATGAAAAGAATCTCGAAGCACAAAGGAATTATGTTTACAAAATTCATGACACGAATTCCATTTTTCCTTGTAATTTTGTTTTCGGGGTATATTTCTGTATTTTCGGGATTTTATCTCCATTCTTCAATACAGCAACCATTTCAGTCATTTGATTTACTGATAAAACATTATCATATCAGCAGAGCTACGAGATGTCAACGACGAGGATTTTATTATATATAATGTGACCATATTTATTAAACATATATATATTTATATATATATACGATCAGCGGAAAATTCCTAACACCAGATCAAAACCAGTTGTTCGGGGTCCTTTTATCAGTGTTGATTTTCTAATCCTGATCAAAGTATAGACATGTTATTTGCTGCTATTTTTATAAACTTTAATATTTGCTATATTTAATGACTAATTTGAAATAGACTTTGTCTAAATGAGGAAGAAATATGACCAAGTAGTTGTATATCTTTTCATAGATCTACACTACCATTTTGAAATGCCTGTATCATGACTTCACTCATAATTTATGATTTAAATGAAAATTGCATAAAAAATCACATATAGTTAAAAGTAAACAAATATCGTAATATTGCAGTTGTAATGAAATAGGTTTCGTGCCGAATCGGGACCTTTCGGCACTTTCCGCGTAAATGACGTTACATTTCTTGTTCGAGTCGTAAGTCACTCACTAAATAGCCTGCTGCTGTCCCGTTGAAACACTTCATTCTGCAAATGAACGATGTCGACCTGGCTGTTTCTTGGTTGTCTCCCCTTCGTTGCCGACATCCAGAGTCCTTAAACAAATGCAGCACACCATAAAGGACATAATTAATGAATATTTCCAAAGTCACAATGTAGTTCTCGGGCCCATTTTATCTAAAGTAATACCAATATTTGAATGTAACCACGGTTTTACCTATATCAATATACACAATGGTCTGAACACTCAGGAAACGACGTTTAAGCTGCAAGCACCCGGCAATCCACATGTTTACTATCTTTACTCTTTCCACTCGGGTTAAGATCCATCTTTTTCATCTCCAATGGAGTGAAAGATTCTATTAGTCTTATTCTAGTGTTGAGAAGGGGAAATCCCCTGTCATGACAATGGCATAACGTCACAGTAACAATTACTGACGTTACATCAAAAATTACATGACCCATTCGTCAGCTACATACCATACGGCAGGCAGGGTTAGAGTAAAACAGTCATACCGTTGCTGGTAAGACAGGTGGTTTTCAACCCTCGGGAAGAAAGGATCAATTTTCAGGCACTCGGCAAACCTCTTAGGTTGAGATCCCCTATCTCATTTCCTTTGGGGTGACAAATTCTATGAGTCTATCTCGACATAATATTGTTCTAAGTGACTCGTATACGTTCTCATAGTATAAAGTCACGCTTAACGAGAATAACGGTATCCTGTAAGATCACTAATAGAAAGGTTGTGAACAGTCCTACAAGGTTAGCATCTTACCCCGGGGATTAGAGGCTGCTCAAAAACCATTTTCAGGTCAAAGTGGTCATCTGGATGGACAACACCGTAAATACATCTGTGTAGAAGATCGACCTTAAGAAAAAAATATAAATTAATTCGAAGTATATAAACATGCTAGAGAATATTAAATAACCCAGTTTATATGACTGCTATGTACATCGTAAGAAATCATAATTATTCATTGATGCGGAAACTGAGTTCATTATTTAGAAAAATATGTAATAGCAGGAATTCGCTAGCACTTCAACAGCTAGATTGGTCGTAGGAAAGACTTTGATTTAATCAGTTATCTACCGGCGAAAAGGGGCTTGTGAAAAATCTGTATACCAGTTTTGTACAAATAAACGTTTCATAATCTTACTTCTTCAGCTCACTGACTTTCCTCAGAACAAAATCAATATGTTTCCATTTTTTACGATTTTGTCGTTGGATGCAGGATTTAATGCCCTCGCAAAAGTGACGGGTAAAATAAGGACAGTTTCTTCGGGAGGCACTAAGGTTACAAACACGAGAAAACAAAGCGAAGGCGGAGACAAAAAAAAAAAAAAAAGAAAATGAAAAGCAAAGAGACTCGAGATGTCGCATTCAGGCAACAGATCAATTTTAGTCTCTACGCTGTCAGACACGAAAGACAATACTTGTTTTTGCAATAGGCTACTTTACCTCCTCTCAGAGCATGCAAAGTGATAGAGCTGTCGAAATACTCTGGAGTCGGATAACACAAGTTTGTGATAATGTAAAATCATGTAGCTGTATTTGATTTTGAATGTTTTAGCACGTCACTGATGACGGTCGTATACAAAAACCTAATGGTGTCGCTGTGAATGAAATACAATACAGACATTAGCGTTATTAAGCGAATAGAAACTCACAACAATGTGACCAAACACGTAATAAGGTAAAATTAAAACGCGAAAAAAATCAAGAAAAAGTAAAACATGAAATAAAGTAAAAAGAAACACGAGATAAAGTGAAAAAACGCACGTAATAACGGGCAAAAACGCGAAAGTAAATCACGTCATTACGCGAAAAACGCCTAATAAGGTGAAAAAACAAACGTAATAACGGACAAAAACGCGAAAGAAAATCACGTCATTACGCGAAAAACGTCTAATAAGGTGAAAAAATGTAGAAAATAAAAGTGAAGGTAAAACACGTTATAACGTAGTTACTTTATTACTTATTACCATTCCTTGTATCTGTTTACATCATGACTCGATTTCGACAGTGACACTAATAGGCTTCCGTACGATATTGTATTCAGTGAGAATTACGCCCAACGGATTATTCATCGTAACATTTCTCCTTGTCTGATTTTTCCTTGCCTATTAATTAGTGTGCGATCTGTGTACACCAACATTCTCGTTTCTAGGTTTCAAATGCTTATATTTTTCATTCAAACGAGAAGAACGCTCCCAGGCCGGATTTCCTACTTGTATGAGCTTAACGTCGATAGAAAACACAAAAAGAAAGATTATTTTCAAATATTTAAATATATGTTACCGACACATATGCGCTTCTCATTTTTTTTTTTTTAACTGATGAGCACGATTTTCATTACCTAAAACGACAAAAGAATGTCAGCTTAATTAGTTGTGAAACTTTTATATTAAATAATCGTTATAATTTGTCATACGTACTTGGTTGAAGCCCAGATATTGTAGAACATTATCGGAGGCGTATAGGATAGTACCGTCTGTGGCAACAACCAACAGGAAGCCGTCCAATATCTGTGCAAGCAATAACATCAAGATTTACACGTTGATATACATTATGGAGGATGGTAAATATACTACTCATGTCTTCCCGTTTCTCCATTACATCAGGATGTAGTAACATTGTAAGTAAAGATAAATTCAACTCCATGTAAATGGGAAACATAGCACTGCTAATTAACAAAGTTCAAAAAACGATAAAGTGTCGACGGGCGTCGGGATTCTGAAGTTGGTTCCTAGTTCCTAATTAGATCCGTTTAAGAAAAACGGAATTTGGCACTAGATCCTAGTTCTGTTTAAAAAAAGTATATGTTGGCAAAACGAAATGTCTGTTGCGCATAATGTTATCTTAATTCGGGACAGGAATCGAACTCAAAACATCTCAGACAGAAATGAACACTATTATAGCTTTTATTAATCAATTCTTGTAATACGGAATTCACATTCAAACTTCAGTTCTGTTTTTTTAAATGTTACTAACAAATATGTGAACAAAATACAGACTCCCATGAATGTCAGGATCTGAAATGTACGTGGGGAGAAATGAATTGCACTACAAACAAAAGAAACTTTGACATGGCACAAATACTTAAAAATGTCCCATTAACAGTAATTTGGAGATGAAAACCAGAATCTGAAATGTGTGTTCGAGTGATAATACAATATATTAAATCAAACTCACGGGGAAAATAACGAAATCTAACCATTTAGTCCCTCGAATAAGTCTAAATTAAGTAAATTGAATATCATATCCTGAAATGTGCGTAGGGATGATCATACACAGATAAAAAATAGATCCTTCGAGAGAGATGGAACTCAACACCAAGCTAAACGGAAAACTTGGACCAATTAATTAACACATCTAATTACCAGTATACTCTAAGTAAGCATCAGAATCTGAAGATATGTTTTGGAATGATAGTAAATAGATATAAACATACTCCGTCGCACGCGAGACAAAAAAAAACCGTATTATCACTCTTTGATCTGACTCCAAACTTGAACACCTATGAAAGGAATAAGGAAAGATTGTCGGCCATGCATACAACACATTTTATTTTATGTAGTTCATCAGGAGCTCGACAGCTGGTATTTTTCACCGTAATCGTTATCATTGACTCGCATTCACATAACCATTCATACTGACGCTCGTCATTACCATCATAGACGTATCAGTTTTGCGGATTAATCTGGTCTCCGTCTCCAGAGTTTAGCAGTCTTGAATTTATGTTAAAGAAATGAGACTGAAATCAACGAAATATATCTATAATTCAAAAGACATTATTTACAATATAAGAGATAGTATAAAAATAGTTGTACCAAAAATGGTGTTCGACTAAAACAGAACAATGGTCGTACACGATTCATAGTAATTTTCGAGTTGTCTCCCCTAGATCGTTGAACAGAGCATACAAACATTTTATCGATTTACTTGCGGTGCGGTGTGAAATTTTGTTGTGAAATTTATGAGTTTGATGAACAGTTGCTCTATAGTACGGTACGCGTATTCTTATTAAAAATGCATCGTAAAACGTCAAAAAGAAATGGTTTTATCGACTATCTTCTGTTGCTATGCTGGTTAAGTACGAGACACAACGTCCGGAAAAATGTCAATTACCGAGTTCAATTTTAGTATACGACGAATCCGGAATATTGGTACGAAATGTCCGCTCAGCAAATGACAGTTGTATCATAAAAATGGTGAACGCTTTTATTATTCACACCTTGTTACCGGGGCCATGTCGTGTGTTGTATCAACAAGTCTATCATGTTGCAGAAATAGACACAACAGCCACAAAGTCGTCAGACAGTGACTTTAGGATTCTGCGTAAACAGAAGATACAGGAAGTGGCATCTGAGGTAAGCCACGCCTCCTCTTTTATACTGACAGAGGCGAAAAAGGGGTAACTTTTTTAATGAAACAAAAATGTCTTTTTGCATAAGGGTGAACTATTTATTTTAATTGTTAACTGAGCCCAGAGTCGTACTTATGACATATGTGATCGAGATATATGAGTCTGTTAACGATATCAATTTTTAGACTTGGCGTGTACACATCGTTTAAGTACAGATCCAATGGAGTTCATAGTCCGGCTATAGCAAAACATCCATGCTTATAGTCCTGTCAAATATATCAAGATATAGCTGTAAACGAGATATATTTACAACAGCATTATTTCTTGAATTTTAAGTACCAACATTATCACAGAAAAAAAGTATTCCATAAAAGAACAGGTTAGGCCTGTCAGGACACCAAGAAAGTATGAAAAATCACATTTGACCCTTGCGTAAAAATATAAAGCACAATTTCCATTATTTTCAGCTGGGATTTTTGCAATGAAAAATATTAAACCTATAAACATATCTTTCTTTATTTTAACTTGACAATAATGGTTTTTGTGGTCGTTTTTTATTTAGAAAATATCATTAATTAATCTGAATATCAAAACAACTTACTGTTTAAATTCTTGAAGTGTAGTAAATTTTCATTTATAAGCGACGGTATTCCATACTAAAAATATTGAGCATCTTGAATAGAGAAAACATGGACTGTGAAACAACTCCAAACCAGTCCCCATGATCAGCTTAGACGGTTGATAAATTTCTTAGCATGAAAGCAAAACCTCTTGATCATTTAAGAAAAATTAATACATATACCATATTTCTATGAATTTATTCTTAAATAGGATCAAACTTATGATCATACTTTTCTCCTGCGTCTTAAAAATGAAATAAAATCAATAGAATATGTTTAAAATTTGAATGCTCTCTATTGATTGTTTGACGATTCTGTGTTACACGTGGACGCATCTAGCGATAATGTTTATCACACTATGGCCAGCATTATGTAAGATATTACAGTTCAATGTTGGCCAAGTCAACCATTATGAATTATTTTCTGTATCCCAGTTAAAGAAAAACAAAATTCCAAATGGATGAGTTTGGTAGACCATCCTCCTATCACAACATTTAAAACAATGAAAAACAAAAAAGAAATTAGTTGTTATGATGCCCTGGTTAAAACCTTAATTAAATGTTATGATTGTGACTCCAGTTATGAATTGGATAACTTGACTCCGTAATACACTAACGTTATGATGTTTTCGTCGTTTCAGGTTCATTCGGAATACCAATTCCGGCGTGCGGTTAGTAACAGAACTGTCGAACAAGACCTGCAGCGTTTGAATAATGAGGACACATTACCGGAAATGGAGCACGGATTCCTTCGCTTACCAGCAATGGACAGTATGATTGCTGTGTGGCAAGGCACAGGAAACACGTGCTGTACGCTAGTTTGTAGTGAGACCGAGAACCGTATGTTAGCAGAAAACGTTCTGAAACTTTTGTTAAGATTTTTACAGGAACATTTACGACTTCTACACCAACCAGTCGAAGTAGTTAACAAACCTGACAAAGTCGCCATTGTATTAAACAGATTTCTACCGAATGGTCAGCTATTGTTCATGAATCACAGAATGGTGAGGCAATTAGAGAAAGAAATGGACACTTTAATGAAATTGTGACGTGATCAAATCAGTAATGTGTATGCATGACGACATGAAATGAATAAAACTGCACCAAATATGTCTAATTACAATGAATGGATGACTGTTTTATTACTAATTATTAAAATAGAATTTCAAGTTTGACAGACCCATCAATTTTCATTTTGATTATGACTGTATACAATATTATATGTAAAAGTACAAATGAATTGTATTTATATACCAAGATTAGAAAACTAGAGGACCCGGGTTCGAATCTTAGCGGAGGCAATGAAATAAAATAATGACCACTGTTATATAACATTGTATTTGACATTGCATGACGTAAACATGCTGCAAGGCCGAACACGCACTCGGCAAACTGTATAAAACATGTCTGCACACGTGCATCCTCGACTTTCATAGGTTACGCTCACTATCGCTCTTTGCACCCCTGGACCATATTATGGCAAACTTGAAGGATTCATGTGCGATGTTTTATGGACAAGACGAAACGACTAGTTTGATCCTTTAATGTATATCAAACGAATCTCGAGGTTGCATAACGGTACATGATTGTAACGACTTTGAAGTTGGGTGTCGCTCCTTTGTAATCTTCAAAAGGAGCATATCTGCCTGTGATTTGTCATTTTTTACTTTTGGAACCAATCAAATTACTTTGCTTGTGCCTTCGATTTTGCCATGAAATGTTCCATGGGTGCAAAGAGAGAAAGTGATCGTCACCCCTGGAGTATCATTGATGGCACACGTGTTGTCAAAAAGCGAAATTAATGTTATAAGGTTCAAATAATTTTAGTAATTTTACTGATTGATCTTCATCTGGAAATCGTCTTTTTGAAATCGGCTTCCAAGCGTCGTGTTAACAGAGCTATCTTACCTGTGAAATGTTTCTTCCTTCAAAGTACTTCTCGGCTATATGTCTTTCTTCTTCTGTTGTCCCGTTTGTCACGACGTCCGCTCCATCAGCGAGACCAATGGCTGTCAACAGACGTCAGACAATTATGCATGCACCTCTCCCCATTTCATATAAGGAATATATATATTGTTCTGCGTATTTTAAAAACAGGGCAAAATCTTTGCATGTGGTAATTGCAACCGACTGAGATTTTCCAGTTTATATATACTATTTCACTTGGATAATCACGGGTATGCCTTTTCTGATTGCTTACCTTTGAACAAAACTTTTAATCGGAAGTAAGATATCACCAACCGGAAGATGGTTTGACTGTCTAACTTTCGATGTAGCACGGATCTGTCGATGGGAATAAGCGTTTCCAAGGCTTTGATTTCAGTACGTAATTTATCCCTGTATCGCTTTGATTTAAAACTGAAAACAAAATATAAAAGAAAAAGTAGAACAGATAGTCAAGATATTTAGCGTATTTAGGAAAATCAATCATATTTAGATCGTGAATGATAAATATATGTGTCTATTTGTTCTTATCTTAACGGTCCATCAGTAAAATAAATACAAAGAATATGAATATTTATTAGTAGGTATCTTGTTTGGTTTGGCCCCAGTCGCAAGAAGAAATGACAATTTTGCTCTTTAACACATCCCTGGTTTTTAAGTTTCAAAAAAGGGAGATAAACTAGAAGAACACTACAACTTTATAAAATTCTTTTATAAAAGCTTAGGAGCTGACATTCATTGGTATACATGTACTTTGTTATATACCCGGTTCTCAATTTGGGAACATGACATTACTTGGATTGACCAATATTTATATGGCAGGTGTCGTCGGTGATGCAGAAGATTCTGACACTTCCGGTTCACCAAGTCTTATTTTGCTTATACTTCCTTTGTATAAGAGTTTACATAGAGGTATCTGTATTGACATGTCTCTGCTTCTGGGTTAATCGTCCCGTGAACAGTCGGTGTCATTTTCTTGAAATCTAATCTCATATTGGTATTTCCATACGTAACCATTAATTTAGAAGTTGGACGAATGTCTATATTTAAGAAAGAAAAATTAGGATGGTATTATTGTCTTTTTTTACAGATATAAATGGCAAATTAGTGCCTTGACCTATGTTACACTCTCGACCTTGATACCTATTGCAGAACTAGTGTGTTTTCATAGTTAAGCCATTTCTCACGTTTTTATAGAAAAAAAAGTAAGTGATCCATATAATTCTACAATTCTGCAACTCCGAAAGTAATCAAAATTTTATGTCATCTCCGCGTCTTCATAGGGAGGGACAAAATCTATAGTTTGATATGAGCAGTCGTTTTGTTCAATTTGAAGCCGTATTAACGGAATAGAAAGGAAAATGAGTTCCATTTTCATTAGTTGGTCTTCCATCAGATAATAAAGCCACAGATCGCCCAAAACAATCAAATAGAATGAAAAAGAAGGAAATCCTTTCCCGTCACTGATACGACAATTATTTCAACAGAAACTGAAATAAGGCTCTTCGATATCATATTGAATTCGACAAATTATCGAAAACATGCACCATTTGCTCTTAATCTTCAGACTATATTTTCTATACCAGACATATATGAAATTGATTAAGCTCCACTTTTTTCCTTTTTTCAATATGCCTGTCGGTAGGTATAATCGATAGCTTTGACGGCTCGTTTTCGTAGACAGTAAGAATTTGGTGAATGTTATCAAATTTACGCAGCCCATGGTTAATGAAGTGATGTTTTCATCGTAATGTCCCTTTAGCAGTGCGCCAAAAAAAGGTGGCGGACAGAGAGGACAGGGCGATACTAACTCGCGTGGAGATATTGATTTTTTTTCTAAAAGCAAGGATCTGCTGTTATTGATTCACTGTTCTGTCAAAGATAGAAAATAGACTGTTGGAATATAGAGGGTATAGATATTCATCTTTAAATGATATATACCACGTTTCAGTCAGGATGATTAAGATAACTTATGAGAATATATTGTATTTTTAAACCCAATTATCACATTAACTTCACTGACACTATAACACGTCTCTATTAACATATTATCTTACTTATCAAAAAAAGTACGATGTAGAATCTATTGATTTTTTTCCGCACACAAGTTTTACCAGACGTAGACAATATGGATAATCGCCAACTAAATGGAGTCTATACGTTTCACGACATGGATGCTATCAGACCAAGAAAATATCGGTATGTGAACAGAAATTAATCCAAACTCAGATTTTATAAAACTAGTTCAAAATTTGAATAAAAGTACAGGGGGAATAAGACCAGGTGTTCCGGAAAAGTAAGCGGTCTTCTGCGTCATCGACGACACCCGCCATGTAAATATTGGTCAGTCGAAGAAAGTAATGTTATGTTCCCAAATGATAAGGTAAATAACAAGAATTAACAAAGAAAAACAACCAAATGCTATCCAAAAACCAACCAACTTTACAATCATATGTTATTATAACCAGTTGAGAAAAAATATGAATCATTAATTTGTATTTCACTTGAAACCCTTTACACGGGTTCTTCAATAAATCCCATATTGACTGAGATCTCGAAACAGCTATTAGGTGAAAGTAAAACGAGTGTCACCTTTAAGTGCTATGGAGTACCGGTGACCCTAAATCGGACTAGTTTTTTTTTCAGTATTATTCACTTATTCATATATGGGTATCATGAACGCCATTTTCACTTCGTATAGACCGAGTTTTCAAACGTGATCGCAACTGGTTATAAAGTGTTTGTTCTGAAACATTCCTTGTTTAGTACTGTTTCACTATTGTTTGTTACGAATAGAGTTGTTTAGACTAAATATGGTACTGAGGACACAAACAGACAAAATGATTGACAGCACTGCATCATACAGATGTTTAACCCCTCGTTGCTTGAATAGTGATTCTAAGCAAGTATCAAGTAAACAAAAATACAAAACGGAAAGTTAAAGCGAAAAAATTCAAATAATTACAAAATAAAGCGCACGAGTGTCAACATTATGTAGAATTAAAATATTAAATAATAAAAAAATAGAATCTACCTGGCAGTAACGTTACCTACAGGACAGATGGTTTGAGTAATCGAGAAAAATCTACAGTAAGTTTGATAGTATGTAAATCAAATCCTAGCGTACTCGAATTAAAATAACGTCAATACGCTGCATTCTAAAATATGTAGCTCTGAATTCCTTCAGCGTCAAAAGAGGACAAAACAGCTGTATGATGCATTTTGTAACAATGTGAAGGCATATGAAATTAGCCGCATCACTGTCTAAATTCATATTTGAAAGTGTAACACTAGGTACAAAGTTTGCATGTCTCAACTATGGTATGTGCGGGTTGCCTACCAGTATAAACACACGCCCCATCTCCCGTCGCGATGTCATCTTATTATCGTAAACTTAAAAACCACAAACACTCGAAAGTCATATTTGTTGACAAGTTTGTGATTGTTTGTGTGAAATTGACCAACGCGTATGAAATCGACAACAATTTATAAACTTCGGCGAGCTTGCAAACACCGGTGCTTTCAAATCAATCTTATTGTAAGTGGGCCCGCTCAGACTCTGTCGAGACAGCGAAAACAGTCGATCCAAAATGCATTAAACCTGACTTTGATAAAATGTTTGAAATAGCTGCTCGAGTTTTGTTTTCCTTTGAATATCGTTCTGTCGTTTGTTAGAGTTCAGCTAGGTTATATCAACAGAACTTTTGCACTGTGTGATATCGAATGCAGGACAAAGAATGACTTGTATAAAACAGGGAAATTAAATTTTGAAACGTGTTGTTACAGGTGTTAAATATGATGTATATAACATGTTCAGTATATAGATATTAAATACACGCTCTTATGGGGATTTTTGTCATCAAAGATATTTTAAGTTTGTTTCTGTGTTTGTGCGAATTTTACAATTAACGACAAAGTCATATGATATAAACAATCAAACAGTGGTTTAAAGAAAACACAGCATCCGTCTATGCATGCATCCATCCACCCATTCACCCACACTACAAGTTAAAGGAATAAAAATTGAAACTAAAAATAAAATTTAGAAAAAACCGATTCCATTTCGTGAAGTGATAAACGCATTTTATACGCAATGTTACAGGCCTCGAATATTTGGTCTGAGAAGTGATACCGAGATTGTCACGATCAGTTGATATAGCCTGACCTGAACAAAAGACCATAATTGGGTAAATATCTGGCATGATCAGGCATTTTTTAGACGGAAAAGACCTATAGTGAATACATGGTCAGTGTCTTAAAATGTATGCCGTATTTTGGTGAGGATGAAGAAATACACAATTGTCGAGCATTTGGCGAGACGCTTTTGTCTCTCTATCCCGTGCCAAAATGCGACTTTTATGTTTAGGAATTGACCATGTATTCTCTTTATTCTGCAACACATATTGATCAATCAGATTATCGAAATTTCTACGTTTTTAGAGCTATGCAATCTTTGTTTACCTAACGTCGACGTTACTCTGAATCGTGCCTGATGACACAAGTGAAAATAAGTACAAATGTACTACGTATTGATGTATAGTTCTTCAATGTATATAAAAAGCAATTTTCTGAATTTTCGAAAACATAAATATACATCAAAACATCAAATAAAATAGCTTATTTCAAAAGTTATTCATATTTTTGAATGAAATGTTTAAGTAAATCGGAGAGTACTTGCGTAGAATTCATGCACGTGCTAAAATACAGCTGTGTTTCGTCATTGCGGTATAGAGCAAAAACAAATCATAACTCGCAAAACACTTCGAAACAATTTCAGAAATGAAAAAAAGCTCGGAAATTTCAAAATCGGAAAAGATTAAACTTTTAACACTATGATTCATCGTTTAATAAATCGTTTTGTTAAACTGTGTCCTGATTATTGGTTTTAAAAAGTGTTAGATATACTATTTACTTGTCTGCCATTTGTATAAACCCTTTAAGAGGTTGATAACGCAAGGTATATCAATTATATTGTATGTGTATTTCGAACGTTTGAAAATATATTGATTTGGTTTTTTTTTAAACTTTGTAAATTTGTTATCCCAAAAAATACTGGATACTTTCAACGACTGCTGAAGTATTACTGTTACAGCAGATGGTCATTCCGTAAAATGTAAATTCTATATTCAGGAACTGTTTTTTTTTTTTTTTTTTCGTTTTGTTTTGTTTTTTTATTGTAAACAAAACATTTAACTATGTACAGAAGAATCCATGAGTCATAAGCTATTATTTTTGTTTTAATGTTTAGGGTTCAATCATTACATAGTATTTATTATCAATTTGTCTATACCATGTCAAAATGACAATGAAATTCTCTTGGATGAATAATCTATATACAAATCAATTAAAATTGTTTGGGAACTAAATTCATTTAACTATGAAGTTCGTGAATCATATTAAACTGGAGTGCTCACGAATCAAGAACACGTCAACAGAAATCGGCACAACTCTGTTTGAAGAGTAGTCAACAAAATGGCGGCCATTTGTACAGTTCGTGCAGGATTCGGTTAGTTGAATGGTTTTGGAATCACGACCTGGGCAAACCAGGTCAACAAAACGGAGAGAGTCGTGTGGATTATGTTACAAAATCCACACGATCTTAATAGTTAAGTAAATTGCATACATATATATACCATATTCCCAAATACAACTTTCCATTTTACAATTCGTGATCAGATGAGGTTGTGTCATTCCATTCATTACCAACTACGTGATATTTACACGAGGAAATGTTTATTTCATGAATTGTATTTTCTGGAGAGGTGTCGGTTTCACTTAAGAGTGACATGTGTAATTTAGTTTCCAGGAAAGTTGTTTTTGCCTGTGCATTTTTTTGGATTAAGTCAACGCCGTTTCCTTCAACAAATCCTACTGTTGCAAAATGGAGAAGGCGCGTTTGATATTGCTGTTATTGCAAAGACGTGCTCGAAATTTGTGTTCTTGTAAATTTTAGTTTGCTGGTTGCCGAGTTCGAAGTATTTCTATGGACACAGCTCTTTGCACAGTTTAATTCCAGAGGTAGGAGGGAATTTGTATTGGATATTTTCCACTTAAAAGGCTAATTTTCGGCACTAAATCAAGGACGTTTCTTTATATTTTATATTGCTGTTATATCTGTTGTTTCACGAGAATCTCGTAAGATACTAGAAGAAATTAATTTCTGTTGACCAGGCATAAGGACTTGTATTCATATGAAAAATAGATCGGAAATCAATAATTTCTCGTTTAAGGCACAGGAAGAAATTAATGTGTAATAAGATTACATATTGACCTCGGTCGCTTTTTCTTGAAAACTTGTTCTACAGCTTTTGTTTTTGCAAGACGTATATAGTTATATACTGAATCTTTTATGCTATATCTATTTTCTGAAAGCATCATTAACCTTGAAGATTTTTATTATTTATTTATAAGCGAAGATAGACACTGAAACATTACCTTAGCATCGACTGATTCATTCTTCTTAGACAATCGTTCACAAATCTATTATGTTTAAGTTTAAAAGATTTTTCTCACTTAAAACGATACATCATATAACTACGATTGACATGGCCTGTTACCTCGATAAATCAGAGTATTCTTAACCCTCTAGATCATCTGGTCCTATTCTGTTTTATGCTTTTTAAAGAGTTTCTTTGTAAATCTTTCTTTGTCCATATTTAGCCCTCATTTCATTAGTTGTGAGTTTACAATACAATTCGGTATTGTTTTCAAACTATTTCATCACATAAAAAGAAAACTGCTTTAATATCAATATGTTTAGCTGTAGTTGAGAGTTATATTTGAAGTGTTTCTATAAAGTAGACACATTATACTTTGCTCTTCTTTACAATTCCTGTCTATGGATTACTCCAAGTGATTAGGTTTTAATTGATAAGTTAAATCGAAACTGACATTTTCAGTTTCAACAGTTTGAGATCAATACCTATATCTATAATATTTCCAATAGTCACACATAAATACGGTAGTACTATCTTCACAATATTTTCAAAACGCATTATGAAATGACTCTCACAACACAGCACGGCATGTTATTACATTTGTGTCTCAATCGCAAATGTGTCAAAACAAAAATTATTTTTACTACGTTACTTTAGATAACTTTACGTTACAAATAAATAATTATTAAGGTGTTCGACTCCGGATTTTATTCACTTGTTTGATTTTCCACCTAAATTGATCAGTGTAGAAAACCCCTTAGTTATTGTCGTTTTTCAGGTACTGGTGTTACAGAAGATTTTTGTGATAAAAACTTACACACTGACATAGTATTGAGCAACGGGAAGTGTATCAGGATTTATCTTGTCATTTCATTTAGGTAAATACGTATATGAATGTTATTACGTCTGTTTGTAAATAGCATATTTGTCTCGTATTTTCTTTTTACCCACTTTACATATATTTTTATTATTCAATAAATAAAACTTTTTTAACATTTTACTTATAACTTATAACTAAACATATCAATTATATATATGGAATTATATATGTAAGGATCTTATCTCGTAATGGGTAACTTGTCATTTTTTTTTTATATTTTTCTCTTATAATCTGGTAATGTTTTATCATTCAGAACTGTGACTACTTAGTGATGAAACAAGAGCAAGAATTGTAAAGGATCCGTATTATAACCGCTCTCTTGTTTTATAAAAATATTCATACTTCCCATTCTCTTACACATACTGGACATAGGTATAGTATTGTCGATACTGTGGGTAGTAACAGTTATACTTTTTTAAAAATCGTTTAAGGGAGTTCTGAATGAAGACATTACTATCATATAGGGCATATCATTCAAACTATGGATTGATCAGGGATATGTCTTTATAAATAAATGCAATCAGTAGAACCGATTGGCTCTTACTTTTATTACCTCCAGTTGCTGTATTTTAGCAGATTTCCTTAATAACGTACCTCTCTAAACAGTTGTAAGACACCAATAGTACATTAGATAGTATATTAATTGTTCTTGTACATAATCTTATATTATTCCTCCTGTCATTTTTCTCCTGTTTGATCATTTGATGATTCATGATATCCATCCTGTAAAGGTATGACATCGGCAATAACGAATGTTTATAAACACGAGTTTATGTCCTTACACCAGTCTAGAGATCTGACTCTGATATTCCATGTTTAAATATACACAAGATTTAATATGTGTGCCAAAGTCATTAACCACAATGTCACCGAGTATTGCCCTATGACTGAACAAACTTCAGATGAATTTTTCTGTTCTACACGTTAAACTTCCCGTGCAATAAGCACTTTGTTTATTTTGTTATCTTTGTAATATTTTATTTGTAAATTAATCTTTATGTTGTTTCTAACATTTCAGGAAGAGGAATGTACAGAAAATATATCGATTTATATAAGTCCTACCTACTAAACTGTACAACATGACCAGGCAAACATGTCTAAATATACGTAAACAACAAATAAACAGTAAAAAGTAGTGTGTAAAGTCCCCAAATAAGTAGAAGATAAACAACAAAACAGGCATCCATCTTTGTATCGCACAGGGAAAATGGATTATTGCCCAATGAGATCCTTATACCAATCAATCGTTCTCTAAGCGCTGCAGTACATAATGTTGTTGTGTAGTTGGTCAACTCTAATTTTGCTAAATCATTTATAAAAACATGTAAACGTGTCATAGAAACCTAATGATCTACGACTCAATATTTCAATTATATATGGAGGGGGAGATGGTCTTCATGGCAATATCTAAAAGAGTCGAGATCTACTAATAAAAACAACAAAAATAAAAATAAAGAAATAAACAAAAACGATTTGGATTTTTCAGTGTGGATATTGATTCTTCTGATACAGAAAAAATATTCCGAATTAGGACAGTGTAAATACAAATATAGAAAATGATTCTTTATTTTTTAAGGTCTGATATTAATTTAATCAAACATAGATACGAGTTATACATCGCACTGTGTTGCCACACTGAAATTATCATTCTATACTTTGATGCTACTTTTACCAGCCACATTTAATACATATGAATAATGGAACAGTTCCGAAGTATTCATTGTAGACAATATATGACATCTTAAGCTTGCAGGACGTGCAGATCATTAACATAATTTTATCATTCGTTTCGGCAAGAACTCGTTTTCTTGTTCTCTAGAAATACCAATGAGTACTAGAAAGACGAAAGAGCTGTGTAACACAGTTTAGTGTTTATTTCGTTCCGAATTGAAAAATCTATATATATTGTATAATAAGTTGTCTGTGTTAAGCAATTTAATTCATGATTTGGCATGTACTGTTTTTGCTTTATGAAACTATTTTGAATTAAATGGTTAAATAAATGAACTTTTATTACAAGCAGATAGGAAACCTCTCTCCAGTTTTTCCCGTACCTAGCCGAGTGTACTAGAAAGTGTTTTTCACTTGTGTATGCAGGTCAGAATGTTGGAAAGTTACAGCTTATTTAGTTAATAACTTTTCATTCATACATTTGCTGCATTTTTATTCTTTTCTGTTCTACTTTTACTAGTTAATACATTCTGCCGGTCATGTTCATTTTCCTTCTTCTCCCCATTTGTCACTTTTAACGTCTCTTTTCTTTCTCGTCGAAATTCATCCTCTTTTGGTTATATTTTTATTTATAAAACATTTTTCATTCTTCTCCGTTTTCAATTATGATGTTATGTTACTTGTTAACTCTCATTTTACACACTATTCGTCTTTGTTCCTCATAGTTTATTCCTCTTCATGACATCGTCAAATGTTGCTCTTGCGCACTCTTCTCCAACGCTTTGCCTGAATTTCTGAGTGCTACTATCTTCTCCTCTGATTTCATTTGATATATGATATTGTTAACCCTCTGCTTTTCTTTCTACTTCTCCATCCCCATTTCGTGTCTGTTCGTTCGCTCAGTTCAACTCTTGTTCACTTTTTCCACCCCACTCAAGTTCACCTTCTCTTTTCCCTCCTTTTTGCTTATGTTCTAACGTTCATATCACTACATTATTTCTACTGTATTGACCACTCTATTCTAAATGTTCACCTCATCCTCTCTCTGTTTATGCCCCACTCCGAATATCAGCAAAATCACTTGTTTTGTTGTGTTGTGCTATATAGTGGTATTGGCTGTAGACTTGTGTATTTGTTTTTCGTATACAAAGCGATATTATATAACATCATATCTTTTGAAGTGGAAGAAAATACAGTGCAGGTGACAGACTTCGGGCTACATGCATGCTATGTGTGTGTTTAATTAAGCGGATTTTACTGACCTTGGGTCAACTTTACTTGACCCTCGATCCTTTGATGTCTGACCGGAAACAGTATTGCGTGGGGTAATTCCACCATCTGGTATATCACCTGTAATTAAGACACATTAGCTGTTTTCAACATATAACCTTTTTAAGCAAATGTTTTAAATATAGATAAATCTCATTATAGATAATTAGATCAGTATTAAATAAAACATTTTTTAAATGAAGTATATTGGGATTGAAGCGTAATATAATAATATGTATCTTGGGAAAGATATTTATGATATTCTTATTTTTCAACAGTACACTCATTCATACTATACTGGCCTGTTTTTATTTAACACTAAAAAGTATATTGGACAGATAAATTCAAGCTGAATTTTTATTCAATATCATTTTAACAATAAACAATATGTTTCTATTTCCTGTCAGGCACTTGGATATATTTAAAGTTTTCATATTCTATTGTCTATCGTAAAACTGTCTTTTGGACACATTCAAACGAAATATTGTTTTCAATAAAAGCTCACTGTAGATATTGTAATTGCATTTACCTTTTATCCTTTCCATGGTTAAGTATTTGACAGAACTTTGATTGCATCATATATATTCGATAGCCTTGCAATTTACAAACCCTTTTACGTAACGATCTTTTGAAATTGTGATTTTTTTTGGTTCTTTTTCGAATTAGGATTGTTAAGGATGTTTAATAACAAGGTTGCACACCGAAGTCTGAATGTATTGACATAAATCGGAGGTCGTGGTAATACAAAACAAAACGATATGAACAGCACTAAAACTTACTTTCTGTTTCCATATCCATTATTGAATAAGCAAGGTCTTCTGTCTACAGCCTTTAATACTCTTTCTGGAACAATACAGAATCATAGAAAATATCAACCAGCTACCTAGATAAAGGCGGAAAGAACTGTGAAATATGCGTATCAACTAGGTATAAGTTTGAGCCATTTAGAGATATAAAAAATACTTGTTTTAAATTTTTTTTTGTCTGTTAAGTTATATTATTGATAAATTCATCCTTGCAATTAAAACCTAATAGATCAATATCAATAAACATCAATACAGTTGGCATTTCTGAGAAGTTTAAGTTTAAGATAAAGTTTCTTTAAATTGTTAATGAGAATTAAGCATTTAATTATAAAATCGTACAGTGTTTGATACAGATGGTATCTGCCGATACATTACTCTTTATAACTTACTCACAGAGAAGTCCTTGTAATTTTTCATATTTTGGAGGGGATCATGTTGTTTCTCGTGATGTATATAGCAAACAAATATCATGGTTTCTTTTCTCTCTATCTCTATTTTTCTCAACTAAGTTATTTCATTTTTGATCTTTTCGCAGATAAAACGTCATTTCTAAGATAACTTAATAATTAATGATTGTTTATTTGCACATCACACAATAATATAATGACTTTTTATGTATACACAATCTGCAAAACAAAATTCATATTCAGATCATAGTTATACATACAAATCAGATTATAATCTCAAACGTGTCATCAGATGCAATCGAAATTGATATGTTTAAATACTTATACAAAAATGTAGCTACAATATTTACATTACATAAATCGAACATGCAGTGCATAATATAAATATTTCAAAATAACCTTACAGAATTATGATAATTTAGAATATATATGTATGGAAGTAAATGATGAAGAAATGAGAGATTACTTACACGTATGTATGATGGCATTATCCATTAAATATTTTAAATAATCTATTTCCAAAAAGTGCAAAATCACAAACTGATATGTTTCGGTAACAATGTAGATCCAGTATCCTCTGGCCCGTCCTACACACATCCAGAGTAATCCCCGCTAAGTATATGTTTGTACTCGGTGTTATCTCAAGCTCAAACACAGATATTCAATCATACCCGACGTGTTTACATTTCACCCCCATGGGTCTCATCCTGGGTAGACATTTCTCTATGCCACACTCAGTAACTGGGCCTGTCGTCCAATGGAGAGGAAGTAAACTGAATTTCTATTCTATCTTCATTTTATTCTATTCTTTAAGCTTTTGGTTTATAGTTTTCGTTTTCTTCCTCTTTGGGCATTTTTTATCATTATTATTTATGTTCATTCGCAATATTTAAGCTCGACATTTATTTGTACACAAGTCGTCTGTGAAAGGGGAAGGAATAGAAATGACGAATTCTTTCACGTTTGCATTGTTTTATCATAATTGTCGTTATCATTATATGTTACATTTCAATGCTTCTTATCCGGATCTATCTTTCCTTTCTCCACATGTATGTGTATATACGTCTCCAAATAAGGATTATCAACATTAATTTAATAAAGGATGTCTACTGTCGGAATAAGCACTGTTTGCCTTTAATCTATTGAATGTACAGTTTAAATGTGTTTGTCCTTATATGGAATAGATTTCATTTCTGGTGCGAAAGTGTTTTAACTCTTGTATAGTAAGACGATATAACTTTATTGTTCTTTGGGACTACTTAGAAGGCAACAAATGGCATATGATACAATATTTGTAAATTTAAGCGGCGACGGTGTGCCACAGGGATCTCGACTCGTACGGTCGTTTTTATAAGTCTTCGATTTTATTAACCATGTTAACATGTTAACAGAAAGTGGTGATCAAAAAACATTGCTAAGAAATACGTTTTTTCCAGAGCACTGTTGTATTATTTAGAACAAACATGATACATCGGTAAGGAAAATCGTTAATGATATTGATTTCAATGTGACAAAATGAAAAAGGTAAATCAATTAATATTCGAAAGGAAATGTTTCTCTTCTTCGTTTCTTCCTCGTTTGTAGATAAAACATTGCCATACAGGTAAAAGTGAAGACAATAAAAGTGTCCATTGTTTTAAAGTGTCATGGCGCTATCAAAGGATGAATTTTGCAGCATATAGAGAATCGGTACAGAGACAACATTGGAACGCCGACTTGAAAACACACTTTTGAAATAAACAATGACACAAATGTGTAAAAGGAAAGAAAGAAAATTTTACAGGTAAAAATTTAGACAAGTACAAAAAGAATATGTCAGTCAATATGCTCCGGAAGGGTAATCGTCTTTATCGACGACCCTCGTCACACTTAATATCGTACAAAGAACAATAATATTTCCTTTTGATGTCATGATTGAACACAAAGAAACCTTATTATAGTTCTCATCTCTCAAAACCATTTCTTATCAATTAATATTCATATTTATATTTAATATTTAATATTCCATAACACAGAAAAGGTTATTGAATTAAAGAACTATTTGATTCGACGATTTTGACTGAGCGACCTTGCAAGGTTTAATAACTGGATAATGTAAGAGCATCTAAATATATCTATGAGGAAACTAATGTGAATAGTTTCAACCAGGTACAACAAACATGTACACACTGAATGTTCATTGTATATTTTGTGTATATGTTGTTGGAAACTTCATTTGGGTGATAAAAGAAGACAAGTTTTGCAATATGATAATGCATTTTCATGAATAAGAAAAATTAAAGATTAGAGGATTAAAAAACCGCTTCAGTTTGAGCAAGTAAACATGCTATGGAAACTATAGAATGGACATCCCTGGAAGATTTTCTTAATAAGTTGGACTATTCCAGTTGATAGCTATTTACCAAAATGAGCTTGATGACGAGACAGAACATCTTGGTGACTGCAGAGATTAAAGGAATCATGCACCAGAGACCTGGCGTTGTGTATTGGTGTCTGTCTACAACATGACACCATTTGGATTCTTACAGAGACAGAGGAAGAGTATGAAACTCAAGCATGTGAGAGAGAAAAGTCAAAATCAGGGGCGGGTCGATGACTCGGCAAAATAAATGACAACTGAGAGAACAGTAACAGCAAAGAAAATATCTGTGATATTTGTCAAAGACTGCCAACTTCGACAAAAGAATAAAATTAGCATGTCACTGAAATAAATAGTTTCGACTGGGGATTCGTCTTCCAAGTCGCTGCTCTTTCGGGCTTTTGTATGATGAAACAACGGAAAAAGTGGAATTTTTCCTAATCAACTATCAAGATAAATTCTAAAATTACAAAAATAAAAAAATAACTCCAAAATTTATGGGGAAAATATGTAACCATAGCAAGTAGGAGATGACATGTGAATCGATTTTTTAAATAATTTTAATTCAATACATATTTGTCATTTCACTGCGTTAGTGCTGTAAATATTGCGATGTATCCAACAACCAATAGTGATAAGAAAGTTTACAATGTTCAGTGTAACTCTTAACTCTAGGTTAGTTATGCCGTATTTATGTATCATGATAACTATGGAAAGTAAGACGTATCTAGCAGTGTGCTTAAAACTTGTCGTGTTTGCAAATTTGTCTGAATGTCTTAATGCCGTTCAGTGTACATAATATGTATATTATTAAATACGATAGATTTCCATTCAATACAACACGTCGGTATAAAAACAGAAAGATCGTATGAATACATAAATAAACATAATGGCTTTAAATAAGATACACATCATGAAATCACTTATATAATATACACTGTGTTTGCCTATACTTTGTATCAATAGTTCCTTCAGATTCCTGCCCCATTATTTTCAAGTCCAATTTTATAGGATAAGTAACTGTTTAAACGAACTAACGGTATTCTGTCCAGACACTACTGTTAGTTGTGTTGTCAGAATATTATCAATGTGTTGTGTCGTGCTACCTCGTCAAGGATTCGACATTTGAAAGTGTAATGGATCTCGAGTAGGTTCTGTCATCAGTGGATCATTTGACCTTGGCTTTTAGGAAGACTCCAACTCAAAAACACTCAAACCATCAGTCGTAATGTAAAAGTGTTTCTCCTTTTCTTTTGGCTGTTTCCTGAAGGCATAAAAATTGTATTGGTTCATTACATGATTCCATTTCAGTTAAGACTTCTGAACGATAGTTCATTAAACTTTCTGATGAGGAAAATTGAGGGGGAAAAATGTGGCAAGTTTCAGATATTTCAGATGATTCTGTTAATAAGTTTATTTTAAAACATTTACAAGTTTACGTGGAAACTACAAAGTATTAACCTATTACAAAATCCAGGTTGATGATATTTCCTTTCTTTGCTGATATTACAATGCATATGACGCGTTTTGGTGATGATCTCACAACTGAAACAATAGCAGACCCAAATGTACAAACAATACACTTTATATCTACCATTTAATGATATTTTATGTTGCTGTGTTATAATCTAAATATCCTTATAAATTGTCGTTGACTTTTCAATTGCACCAACATATATGTTGAACTTTAGTTTCTTAAGAATCAATTTTCAGGAAAATATTTATCTCTCTACAACAGGGAGCAGTAACACTTATATTTACCAACCTCGGTCAGTATTTATGGAAGATGACACTTAACTTTTTAATTCCTGTGAGATACTTGAACTAGTATAAATGAGTTTTTTTGCGTTTTTGTTGTCTTTTTATGTATACAAAAACAGCGACTGAGTGACGCCAAAATCGATCTCTTTTTGCCAGAGCAGATTCCTCAAAGGTAGTATATTGTAAAGATAATAGAGTCTTTCAATTTTTTCATCGTGTGTAATTACATCATGCTGAAATTTTAAGCATCAATTTTCCGTTTCAGTATGAATAGATACGAATATGATTGGATAAGAGAAAATGCTAGTGAAAACTTCCTCGTAAAGCACTGCATTGAGTTCACAGTGGAATTGATCATTAACTTAACCAGCATAGGCCAAAACACGATGTGTTGTGGCCATATGAAACCATGTAACAAGTATAATTCTTTTTCCAAATTTCGATTTTTTTTTTTTTTCTATTTTT